TCATGGCAAGGGTCAATGGTGCTTAAGACTCAAGAGGTACGCTCGAGGTACTATATACGATAACCACGTGATGGTCCGATGACGGAATGAGATTTCTTTACTTGGCATATTTGGAACTGGAAAATGTCGGTTGATCTTCGGCTGAACTTTTCTGTATTGGAGCTGTGGCAGAAAATTGATGGATGCATGAATGTATGACTCCCATTTCTTTTCTCCATACAATTGAATTTTCTATAAAAGCGGAAGAAGATCTCGACATATCTCTATCCCCTTTTCTCTTCTCTCTTCTCTTTTAAGCCACTTCCCAGTTCATACCGTAAACCACCCATTTTCCCACTCTCCGCACACAACGATTGATTTTCTCTTCTTAAAACGTATCAGTGATTCATACGCCCAACAGTATCACGGAAACCTTTTTAACGACTGATTCAACTCCCCCGAGGATACGTTGATTCAAACATACAAAGTTCGAGTATAGAAACATACAAACGGTACTTGGAGCCTGTTTTGATTTGAAGTAGGTAGTTGAAATCCTTCTCATATCTAAACAGTTCAAGCATCCTTTAAAATCTTGCTCAACTTTTACCCCTCCAAACCCCACCATTCAAAAAATTCAAAAAACCTAACAAAACATGGCATCAACAAACTTCGAACTACCAGATCCAACATCAGATCTTCATTGGTCTGCTTTCCGTGGTGCTATCCAAGATATCTTCACCGCAAATGCTGAAGCTCATCCTGATAGACTTTGTGTTGTGGAAACTGCCTCAGCTACCTCTCCAAGGAGAGAATTCACCTACCGACAAATCAACGAAGCTTCAAATATCCTAGCTCATCATTTGGTGGAGCGCGGAGTTCAACGAAATGAAGTCGTCATGTCATATAGTTACCGTGGTGTGGACTTGGTTGTCACTGTCATGGGTATCTTGAAAGCTGGTGCTATATTCTCAGTTATCGATCCTTCATATCCTCCTGATCGCCAAAACATCTACCTTGATGTTGCAAGACCAAGAGCTTTGGTTGTTATCGACAAAGCTACCAGAGAGGCTGGGGAATTAACGGAGAAGGTGCGCAATTTCATCGCCGAAAATCTGGATTTAAAGACCTACATCCCAGGTCTCGAATTGAAGGATGATGGAACTTTGGTCGGTGGAGATGATCAAGGGAAGGATGCTTTCCAAGCCCAACAATCTTTGAAGGCTAAGAGTCCTGGTGTTATTGTTGGACCCGATTCTACACCCACTTTGTCATTTACCTCCGGCTCAGAAGGTCGTCCAAAGGGCGTTCGAGGAAGACATTACTCTCTTGCATATTACTTTGACTGGATGGCCGAGAGATTTGGCTTGTCTAAGAATGACAAGTTCACAATGTTGAGTGGTATTGCTCATGATCCTATTCAAAGAGATATCTTTACACCTCTCTTCCTTGGTGCTCAATTACTGGTTCCATCCAAGGATGATATTCAACATGAAAGATTGGCCGAATGGATGAGAGAGCACGGTGCCACCGTTACTCATTTGACACCCGCAATGGGTCAAATTTTAGTTGGTGGAGCTAGCGCCGAATTTCCAGCTCTTCATCACTCCTTTTTTGTCGGAGATATTCTGATCAAGAGAGATTGTAAGGCGCTTCAGAAATTGGCACCAAATGTGTTCATTGTGAACATGTACGGAACAACTGAAACACAGCGTGCAGTCAGTTACTACGAGATCCCAAGTCGAGCTTCGGATCCACAATATTTAGAGAATATGGGAAATGTGATTCCAGCTGGTAAGGGAATGAAGGACGTCCAATTACTTATCGTTGATCGCGAAAACCGAAACCGCATCTGTGACATTGGAGAGATTGGCGAGATTTACGTTCGAGCTGCTGGGCTTGCTGAAGGTTATCTTGGGAGTGACGAGCTCAACAAGGCCAAATTCATCGACAGTTGGTTTGTTGATAATTCCAAGTGGGTCGAAGAAGATGCAAAGAACGCAAAATCCTTATCTGAAGAACCTTGGAGAGAATTTTATAAGGGTCCAAGAGATCGAATGTATCGATCAGGTGATTTGGGCCGATATACTCAAACTGGAGACGTAGAATGTGTTGGTCGTGCAGATGATCAGGTCAAGATTCGTGGCTTCAGAATCGAACTTGGTGAAATCGACAAATACCTCTCGGATCATGTCATGGTTATGGATAATGTCACTTTGGTCAGAAGAAATAAGGATGAAGAACAAACACTTGTCAGCTATATCGTACCTGATATGCAAAAGTGGGCGCAATGGTTAGAGCAATTAGGTCTCGAGGATGATACGTCCGGTGGTGAAGGAATTCAAGGAAGACTTCGAAGATTTTGGCCTCTCGGCGAAGATATCAAAAAGTATCTCAAGACTAAGCTGCCATCCTACGCCATTCCAGAAGTTATCATTCCTTTGGAGAAATTCCCTCTTAATCCAAATGGAAAGAAGGATAAGCCTGCGCTTCCATTCCCAGATGCTGCACAATTACAGGCAGCAAGACCTGTTGGTGCATATTCTGAGCTTTCAGATAGTGAGAAAGAGGTTGCAGCTATCTGGGGGTCATTAATCCCTACTATTGATGAAAGAACAATCAATCCTGATGATTCATTCTTCGATATTGGAGGCCACAGTATCTTGGCGCAACAAATGCTCTTCAAGGTCAATAAAAAATGGACCGGTATCAACATCAACATGAGTGTCATCTTCCGAAACCCAACATTGAAAGGATTTGCCGCAGAGATCGCACGTAGATCATCATCCGATGGCGATGTGAAGGAAGAAGTAGAAGTTGCAGAGGATTATGAAGGAGACGCTCATGCCCTTGCCAAAACCCTCCCATCAACATTCCCCTCAGCAGATGAGAAGATCACTTCAACCACGCCTCTTACCGTCTTCCTTACAGGCGCTACTGGTTTCCTTGGTTCCTATTTGATGCGCGATCTCCTCTCCCGCTCTCAGCCAATCAAAGTTATTGCTCACGTGCGAGCACTCGACTCTAAGGCAGCTCTCGATCGTGTCATTCAAACTTGCCAAGCCTATGGAGTTTGGGATCCTTCTTGGGAATCACGTATCTCCTGCGTCGTCGGTAATCTCGGGGAACCCCAACTAGGTCTCTCCCCAGAAGATTGGAAGACTGTATCCGAGACCGCAAATGTTATCATTCATAATGGAGCCCAAGTCCATTGGGTGTACCCATATCAAAATCTCAAGCCTGCAAACGTAAAGGGAACTCTCGACATTCTTTCCCTTTGCGCAACTGGTATTCCCAAACGTCTCTCCTTCGTCTCATCTACCTCTGTTCTTGACACAGACCACTTCGTCCAACAATCAAGATCTGGTGTCGCTGTCTCCGAAGAAGACGATCTCTCCGGTTCAGCAAAGGGTCTTGGAACAGGCTATGGTCAATCAAAATGGGTAGCCGAATATCTCGTCCGCACAGCTGGCTCCCGCGGTCTTCGTGGCACAGTTGTTCGACCAGGTTATATTACCGGTGATAAGACCTCCGGCGTAACCAACACAGATGATTTCCTAATCCGAATGGCAAAAGGTTGTATTCAGCTCGCCTGTCGTCCACGTATCTCCAACACGGTCAACCAAGTCCCTGTCAATCACGTCGCGCGTGTCGTTATAGCCTGCGCTCTCCACCCCGCTAAAACACCACTTGGCGTCGCTCAAGTTACAAGTCATCCCAGACTAACATTTTCTCAATACTTATCCACACTCGAAACATATGGTTACAATACCCCTGAAGTCGAATATTCAGTTTGGAGTCAAAAACTCGTGGAATACGCTGCAAATACCAATCCGGAGAAAGAACAACATGCACTTATGCCTCTTTACCATTTCGCTACATCGGATCTCCCAGCTGATACCATTGCTCCAGAGATGGACGATGTCAATGCTGCTGCGTCACTTAAAGCGGATGCAGAATTCACGGGTGAGGATTTAAGCGCAGGTGGTTATTTGGATGAGAACATCATGGGCAATTATCTTGCTTATCTGGCAGGCATTGGATTCTTGAGTTTGCCAGAGGATGGGAAGGGAAAGAAATTACCGGAGGTCAAAATCAGTCCTGAGCAAAAGATTGCCTTGTTGAGAGTCGGAGGAAGAGGTGCATTGGTTTAAGGGGAGATTTGGATTTATTTGCAATCATACGGATAAGAAGTTACAATTTCATAGGAAGCGAGCATAAATAACAAAAACAAATCGAAGAGCTCCTCTGGGGGTTATTCAGAATGTGTCCCTTTCTTTTATATTATGCTCATTAAATTCTCATGCAGGGAGATACGTATGTAAAGGTAGTCATGTGAAGTTCAACTGTGAGAGAAATCATGGCCAGGGTGAAATCGACATCCCTGGACGCATTTCACGGTTCGAGAAATTTGATGAAGAATGGTGCTGTGTATGACAATTTCTGATATCATCACGGCGCCATTGTTCATAAAGCATACTGGCCAATTTTTAAATGCCAAATTGAATCCTCGGACGAAGTTCCGATCGCAGAAGACGGTGAGGATTGAAAGGTGAGGAAGGAGTCTATACCGCTGGAAGTTTTCAGTCAAAGGGCATCACATAATTGGTCACGGCAAGTTCAAATGGAGTATGGTGGTTCAGAGATTGCATTTATATATATATATATTGAAGTAAGGTCGCGAGTGATGGCAGTTATTAAAGGTTGCGCTGAGCAACAAAGTATGTCGGCCAAAAGATATGGACCAAAATATCCACAACCCCCGAAAGGATTCAAGATACCTCGGTGAGTAATCGGACGAAAAATCAATCTTCTTCCTCCAAAAATAGGCCTATACCACAGGTTGAACCGATCCACGATGGGAAAGGGGGTAAGGGCCAGAGTGTTTGGGAAGTGTTGTATAATGCGGAAAGGAAAAAGGATGCGCGTGCGCGCCAAGGGGAGCACATTGAAAAGTATTGTATTGCTGATAAATATTATATTATTTCGTGTATTCTATGTAGTTCAACGACTGTGCCAGTGTTTCAATCGATGCAGTATAGTGAAGAAGAGCCCTGTCTTTGAAGCAATGTTAGTTTTAGGTTCATCAAGATACTGCAGTAATAAAATGATAGATTGATTGCTTCGATCAGACATCCAAGGAAGATATACCCTCATCTGTCCTCTATTTAGGTTCTAAGGCGAGGACTCGAGTGAAAACTGCGAATGTGGTATGTGTTTCATCATAGTGAAGCGTGGGGGAAAGTGTGAAAAGTGAAAGAGACTAACCTTTGATAAATGTAAGCAAAATGACGATGTGCTGTTGATTAGTTTTTCAAAATGAGATAGCAATTAAGTCGCGAAAAGATTTGCGGCAGCAGTGATCATGTTGGATCATGCATGGTTGTAAGCATTGCTGTTAAACCATGACAACATAATCCCGGAACTTTGAGCCACATGGTTGTGCAGCAGAAGAGTGCCGCGATTGTTGATGTTGCATTGGCGCATGTCGATCCGTTACGCGTATAAAAAAGAAGGCAGCTAGAAAGAGAAGAACTCTGTTTGATGGTCAGCAAATTATTCTTGACACCATAGCGAGAAAATGTAGATTGTGAGAAGAATCTTTCAGACAACATGTACTGGCAAGTAACAAGATCAACCCGTAGGTATCTCTCGAACAGCGTAATTTTAATCATGGTCGATTAATTTGGGAAAAGAAGTATCGATTGAAATTGTCATCATTAGACTTGGAGGGGTATGGGAAGGAGAAGAGAAAATATTCAGACATACCATGATTAACTGAGCTTGACGCTCATCGTACATGTGCGACCATTGCAATGATAATCATCGTGAAGATGTGATCTTAGAATTACTGTAGGGCATGAAAAGAAGATGGAAAAAGTTATATGAGAAAAGAAAATTTGAAGCTTCCGCGACCGAAGATAAATTTTTATATTGGAGATGTCAAAGCTTTCCCTAAGCGAATGTCAGATATGGCACTAGGATTACTTTAGTCTGCATATCACATGATGCTGAGCTACTCTTCATTTGGTTTAGCCTGGAGGTGTCGAATGCTGTAATCCTGCCACCTTTTTTCTCTGGCTAGCACGTGGGAACCAGCTGATGGCAAGGAGAAAAGGAAGAAAGTTCTTGCGTACGGTGTCTCGTTTCGGTCAAGTGTGCAATTGAACATACCGGTCCGGTACCCAGGGACCGAGTAGCTAGTATGTGATCAAAAGAAAGAGATACGTAGGAAAGAGCGGAAAATCAGTAAAGAATACGTTAGCAGACGCAATAGAATGTGTGCAATAGGTCGATACTGACCGAAGGTGGTTGACAATAACTATTGTTCTGCAAAGGACTCGAACTGCAGAGAGCAACATGGCTACTGAAACTGGGTCGTCACAACTGCCAAGTACCTGCTCTATATACAATACACTTTACCATGGCATCGACTTTTCACCAGAGACCACTGTTATTGATCTTTGATATTCCGATGAAGCTAGCTTCGTACCGCACCTAATAATAAACCTGCCAGTCGATCCGATACACTTTTCCAAACTCAGCTCCGAGGTCTGCAAAGTCATCATCCATCAATCCATCATTCTTGAGACATTCATATACCTCGTCTGTATGCACAAAGTACAATCCTCACGCGAAAAGAACCGCATAACTCCGCCTCCATAGCTATGATAGATACATAGATAGCTATCGAGGTAGATCGTCGAGGAAGTAGACGTACGTCGATAATCCAATGAAAATCCACGTGGTTTTCCTCTTGTGCAGTCTGTTATCAACATGTACAAATGACATACGGTGACCTTTCCCATCCACCACATTCGCCTTTCATCTGATTGGGGCATTTCTTCTTCTTCCCACCTTTTCCATTAGTCATACCTGCACACTAGAAGCATATACCTACCTACATACTACATACTTGGTCTCTGCACCTCACCCTGACTTCTATACTTAGCACCCTCTTCCTCACCTCCAGCGACCGACATAACTTCTACGGACAAGTGTAGACACACATCATAACACAACCAGAGTTTCGTGTACCAATTTTCTCTTAGATCCCCCCCCCCAAAATTCCCATCGTGACAGGGTCCTCTCTCTCGACCTGAACCACAGAAGAACAACCTCAACCACCACACCCACCACCCACACACACAACTTCACAATCACAAGGATTCCTAAAGCAAGGCCCAGAAGGAAGGTATAGGGTTATTCATCCCCCCGGATTCTCCTTTTGCATTTTATACCTTCGCGCAATTCACTTCCTTCCCTACCATTCAGAGATAGGTAGTAGTGGTTCCAAAGTAATTAATTAATCATTGTTCATTATTCTATCTACCATCGCTCCCAAAAATTACAAATCGGCGAGGTTGAAGGCAGGACGGGGCAAAAACACGGCTTTACCTGACATCTTTTATCATTTATTTGCCTTGTAGGCGGCTTTTTTTCACACGGCATTGATCGTCGCACTTTCATTCCGGGTACTCATCTACCGATCAAACTTCCCTATAATTATTTGCACAAAATACCTCGACTTGTCGTGATATTGTGGTTTTCGAATTTCGACATCCCGACACCATTCGCGGTTCAGAAAGAGTACCCACTTTAGTGTGATTATCGTGCGCGATCGGGGTTTAGTTTGTTCATTACTCGCGACGACATTGTATTCAACACCCCACGACAACGACATAGATTCGAGGAGACAATTGAAGGAACTCATTCGGCCGTGGCGTGAATCAAGCAGAAGATCGTGGCAGACATCGTTCTATTGAACAACGGCGGAGGTGGAAATTGTGGCTCGAGGCGCATGTTACTTGCTTGAACGATATTGTTCGATATCCACATTCAGTGGATAATCGACCTTAAACAAGATGATGACGAGTTTGCAACAACAACACTCACCATATCCAGGACTTCAACATCAGGGCGTTCCTCAGGGCCATATGGCGGGAATGCCTCATGCTCAGGGTCAGCAAGGACAACCAGGTCCAGGTATGCCTCAACAAATGCACATGGGAGTTTCTGGACCAGGTGGTCCTCAAGTCACTCAAGCCGGTGCTATGATGGCTGGTATGCCACCTGGTGCTGGACCAAACGCACATGCTCTACAGCATTTGAACCCAAATCAGCAGGCGCAAGCGGCAATGTTCCAACAGCAGCAACAACAACAGATGAGTAAGTCGGACCTCCCATCACCTGTTCTCTTTTCTCTCCAATGTTTTGTACAGATGCTTTGAATTCGTGCTCTGCACCTTATCCTCAACGCCTCGTTATACTAACGATGATCCTTTCCAGTGAACGCAAATCCGCAGTTAATGCATCATCAAATGTTACAACAACAAGCAGCCAGGCAGCGCCAGATCCAACTACAACAGCAATACAGCGGCGGTGGAATGCCAAACGGAATGCCTGTAAATATGCATGGGATGAACCCAAATCAAATGAACGCTCAATTTGCAATGCGACATGGTACCCCCGGAATGGCTCGCCCGGTAAATCTACCACAGCATCTTGCCCAGCAACAACAGATGGCTCAAGACAACGTCAATCAACAACAAGCACATCAGCAGGTAAGGGGGACTCACAAATGCCACAACTCATACACTAACACTTATTTGTGTTAGACTCAACAGATGATGCTCGCAATGCACCAACAAAATGCTCAAAATCATGGACCGAATGGCCAAGCAGGACATCCCCAGATGACTGCCCAGCAAATGCAACAACTCCAACAACAACACCTTGCGCAACAGCAACAACAACAACAGCACCAACAGCAACAACAGCAGCAGCAACAACAGCAACAACAACAGCAACAACAACAGCAACAACAAGCTCATGCTCAGGCTCAAGCGGTTCAAGCCCAGCAAGCTCAGGCCCAAGCCCAAGCGCAGGCTCAGGCGGCCGCTGCTGTATCTCAACAACAGAACCAAAACCAATCCCAGGTTCAGAATCAGCCACCTCAATCGGCCTCGACACCTCAACCTCAAGCACCACCGCCAGCCGCTCTCCAAGCAGCCATTCAGGCTCAAGCTCAACAAGCCCAAGTCCAGCAAGCTCAAGCTCAGCAACCAACGGGGGCTCTTCAGCAGCAGCAACAGCAACAGCAACAACAGCAACAGCACGCTGCTGCAATGCTACAACAACAGCAGCAGCAGCAGACTAGACAAGGAGAAAAATTAAAGGGGCAATGCCTAATGCGATTGGTACAATTTAGTGATCATCTCGGTGGTTTTTGCAAGGTTGTCAAGCCGGTAGGCTTTTACGAGGCAACTGGCGTTTCTCGGCTGAATGCCGAGTCCATGAAAGAAAAGGACGACTTAGCATATTGGGGAAGCTTTGCGGAGAGGTTTTTCTCCCGAGGGGGGGTTCTACGCTATTCGACATATTCGTACAATCCCCAAGATAACGTCCGTGAGAAACAGTACGAGATAACATCACCTGCGATGCCGAGATACTTTCATACCCACTTCGAAAGTGGTGTTACGAACATGCAGATGATTTTTGAGAAAGGCACTGAAAAGGAATTGCCGCTAAATGGCCATTACATTGAAAGTCAGAACTCAAGTTTTGTCTACTGGTTTGAAGATGGCTCTCACGTAAGTCATTGATTGATTCCATGAAGCTTCAGGTTTTTGTACTAAGTGAATTTAGCTGGTCTCAAATGGCATACTTCGCGCTCATTTTGATGGGGATCAAAAGCTCGAGCTACTTGACTTCGAGACTCGTAGTCATCAGGAGTATGTTCCCCGTAGCATGGCTATAGACAGAGCAAGGCCAATTCACAATTGGGTAAAAGATTGGAAATCCATGAACAATGGACCTGATGGCAAACCATCGCCCGAAATGAACAAAAAGAAACAAAAGATGATGAAATCTCCACCGAATCCTCCTCCTGATTTCGACCTACCAGACACGAAACTGACTCAATACACTGGAATCACACCTATGGTGTTTCGATTTCTTGAGGTATGTTTAATCTAAACCCTAGGCACGCTATTTTTCTAATAATCATAGATGAATGAGGTTTTGGCTCAAATGAATCCTTTAATGAGCTATCTGCAAACAAACCCAACACTTACTCCCTATAAAGCCATAGACGCATACATGGCTCAAGTGAATAGCAATGGAGCAAACGGTGGTCCTCAAAACTCCTCGGGTCCACGAACACCGGCAATGGTAAATTTCCCGATTGGTGCTTCTCCTGCAGCTGCACACTTGCAAATACCAGAAGGATCACCTCATATGATGGGTAGTCCAGCTCAAGCTCCAGGTATGCAGCTCCAACAGAGTCAGCATGGAACCACGTCAAGTGGCCCAAGCGCAAACACAAGTCCCAATGCGAGTAACAAACGAAGAAGGCCAAGTACAGTCAAGGCCGAAGAAGATGGACAAGCCAACGGGACAGGAAAAAACAACGTCAAACCTAGTCCACGCATAACGAAGAGACAAAAAGGAAATCCCGCTTGAAAAAATCTCCAACGCCCAACGAAGCAAGCATACTGTAATCGTTTCAAACCAAATCAACGTCTGAATATTTTTGAAAGGAGAGTGATCACCAGAGGTTCGCGATTCTCACCGAGACTTTACTTCCATCCGACAACATAAATCAACCATCCAAAATACATTCTGGCTTTTCAGTCAATCACAAGCTTCATGAGGAAGCTGTCAGTCTGTCATATTATTTATTATTTATTTTTATGCCTTTTCACAAGTGGGGAAATGCACCAGGTCTATATTAACAAGCGTTGGCGCACAGAACAGTTTCTACATAACTCTCTTACATACGTACTTGGCGTGTTGTCGAATCTCTTTTACGCTTCGTTTTACTAAAGGGAGAATGGCGAAATTTTGATTCTTTGGGACGGAGTATTGGGCTACGGAAGGGGAAGGGATATGGAATTGGATTGTCATTAGTTTTGGTGGTAATATTCCTTGTATACTATTCACATTTTTGGTGTGAGGGTCGGGTGTTTTTCCATGTAAGAGGCGGCGGGAAACGTCGCGGTGCATTTTTTTATTACTATTTTTTGCTATGCTATACCCGTGGCTTGGGGTTTTGGGGGTAGTGGGAGGATATGGATACTTGAGCAGGCGGTTGGAAGCGAAGTGAATTGTTGGAAGGGGGAGCTGGGAGAGCGGGCTGGAAACCGGAAAATGAACTAGGTGGCATGTGGATGGAGAAAGGGGTGGAGCCGGGGAAGAGAGTCGAGGTGATTGAATGGAAATGAAGTTCAAATGGGACAAAATGGTGTAGAAGTCAGACAAGAGACCAGTGTGCGATGACTGACTCGGAAGGAATATAGTATAGTGTGGTGATAAAACACTAGAAAGATGAATGAACAAGTAATCAAAATACCTTCAAAGTTAACACGGAACGATTTATGTTTGATATCTGTTGTACAAAATAATATCTGGAGGGAGGGTACTTATTGAAATTGGTCATGAAAGTCACTATCCTGATTATGAAGCCTATCAACAATGTGTACTTCGCATCAACTCTTATATTTTGCATACTCACTTTATTACAGACATATCTGCTCGCGATCCACTAGTCACAAAAGGATTTTCTTCTTTCTCTAATTCTCACATTCACTAATAAAATATTATACACAACAATTCGATTCAACAAGTATAGACTACTGCCCTCCCTGCCCTCCCTAACCGACAATCAGGCTACAAATGAGAGTAAATTACCAGTAGTCGTCGATGGCTTTAGTTCACACACAGACAGGTATATGTCCAAGAAATATTCTCCTTCCTCCTGTAACCTAGGATCGCTCTGCAAGACGTTCTCAAATGAGAGAGTCTCTGCTCAAGTACATGTATATATACACACACCTTTCACAATCTCTACATCATGACGAGAAACTTACCACTAAGCGACGAGAATTCGCGTCGTTTCCGGATTTCATTAAACTCCAGCTAACATACATAGTAGGTTTACAATGCGATGGATGCGAATGAGCAAAAACGCGACGTCGATACAAAACTCGGCGTCGTAGATCAAAAAAATAAGTAGAAGGACATCTCAAACCCGGAGAAGAAATCGCATACTCGAGCCTTTCTTTGCTCTGCGCCTGCTATCACTTACTTACTTACTTACTCACATCTCCTGGATCTTTTAGAATGGGCTGAGTTATCACTCGCTTCGTGGATATGTGTGCTGGTTGGTACTGCGTGAGGAGTTGAGAGGATGCAGGATGTAGGAGGAAAGGGTTTGATCTAGATGTTTTGTTCATGTGGGATTTAGAGACATGGATTTCTAGAACAACCGGTTGAGAGAGGGAAGGGGCTTGCTTAGTTGGCGAGTTGATATGATTGCGGGAAAAGGGAGGATGGAGAGGGGAAGAAAAGACGGGATGGGGTAAGTCAGGGGAAAGCGGGAGGAAAGATGAAGGTGGGCATTTGATGGTTTGAATGTTTCGATTTGCGAGTTGAGTAGAGTTGAGGTTGGCTCAGGGGTTTTGAGGGAGCTTGAGGATTAACAATTGCATGCTCAATGCTCGGGACTTCTTTGAGCTGGACGGGATAGAACGTCATAATACTGGTGGTGCGTGTTTTTATCTCTTTCAATATCCCCCAAAGCTCTCAACATATCCACAGCAAATACAAGGACGAGTATTGAAACGCTGCTCAAGTCCATCAAATTCCTGCAAAATATCAGGTTCTATATAATTTTTCTCATTTTTCAATTCATCATATTCATACATATATATACAGATGTTCCATCGTACCCTCCCAATAATATATTTTACAGTCCAGACTCATCGCACCAATCAAACCATGAACAAAGCAAGCCCGCCGAACCATTTAGAGAGTGCAGTCTTGCACCTATCTTCCACAAGAGCGATGGAAATTGCAGTTAAAACAGTGATCCTCCATAACCACCAATACCGGGACCGATTCCAATGCCAGAAGACATGATCCCACCAGACACCTAATTCACAAATCCTGTATTTACCTAGATACCGACCTTCCCATCAATCCATCAATCATAACCAACCCAAAAAGGAGAGAACCAAACACCAGGTAGCCTTGAAACCCTCCTTGTGCACACTCATAACCCATCACAAATTCGCCCCCGGTTGTCCCACTCTGCCACCCACCAACCCCCTTCTATTTCTCCCTGTCCTTCCTCTCCCTAGCCAATTCAACTTAAGACCCCGTCCCAAGTCTTCCATCTTCTCCTGACTTGAATCATTGCCCGCTCGTATACCCACACTACTAAGTACACTCACACATTGTAACATTCTACCCACAGCTTCTGTAAGCTTCTTGGACGAATCTTCTACATTTGCCTGTCTTCTTTCTCGCGCACTCAACCCATAGGTCAACGCTGGATGGGTACTACTCGGTGTGAATGGTCTTGGAGGAGGCGGCATTCCGGAAATACCAAGACCTCCACCTGCAGAATGTTCGGATCCATAACTGACATTTGAGATTGCTCGAGAACGTGAACCAGAATTATCACCCGCTGAACTGCCGCCTCCTAAAAGCGTGGTATTTTGAGACGAATAAGATCCATGGCTCGGATCTAAACTGATGGCTGTTCCTGGTCTACCTTGACTATCTGGACTTGGGGATCTTATATCCGAGTTTGGAAGGCTGAGACTAATAGAATCGAGGGAGAGGCGAGAAAATAACCCTTTCAGTGTTTCGTAACGAGGAATGATTACTGTGTCGCGGTATGCTATAAGTACTATTCTGCGCACCTCGAGAGCGCGACCTGCAGGAACATTGGAAGAGGAGTTGGATTGAGATGAAGAAATAACGCCCCAGGTCTCGCGCGCTACTTCTGGTGACATGAGGGGTCCGTGGCCAGAAAATTCGAGATCGAGCGGGAGAAACACGGCTTGCATGTAAGGAAGCACGGTTGTGAAAGTAAAGAGCCACATTTCTACAAGGTGCGGTATGAGGCGTTCATCAGGGGTTCGACGCAAAGTTTGGTCAAGGGATCTAAAGCCTGTTTCGAGTAACTCTTGCAAGTCCTCTATAACATGATTTGGGCATCTTTTTTGTATACAGCGTTGAATATGGGTACTAGAAAGTTGTTAGGAAATTGGAAAATTCAAAGGGGCTGATTAATACTTACGTGACTAGACGATTGAGATCTTCCACACATAACCTTAAGTCTTCGCCCTCGAATATGACAAGTAGTTTTGCTTTTAAAAACGGCCATGCATCGTCTGCTCCCATGTTATTCAGTCCATACTTCCCCAAATCCGCTGTGTCAACACTATAAAGGCTAGAAGGATATCCTGCCCCCGCAGGACCTAAGTATGATGATGCACCTGCTGAGCCAAGACTAGATGGTCCAGGCCATTCGTTACTATTTTGATATGATAATTCTCCTTCCCTCAAGGTCTCGCTTTTCTCTTCTTTTTTCTTTTCTCTTAATGCCCTTCCTCCATGTCTTAGATCTAGGCCACTCATACTTTTCGCAAAACTTGTAGATGTAGGGCCTGGACTCGGTGGAAGGTTGAAGTTATACAAGCTACTGGGCGCACTTGGATCTACGGGTTTGGAGTTCGAGGCCGCCGATGACAATGGTAAATGATGATCGTCTTTGCTGCTCAGCTTGTGTTTCTGCCGTGACAGAAAATGATGTTTATGTTTCTCCTTGTCTCTTTCTTTTTCTGGTTGTGATGTATCGACTGGTCGTATCGTCGCCGAAGAAGAATTCGCCATGCTGTACATACTCGGAGCGCCTGAAGCATCTGTATAACTGTTAGCTGAGTGTTTTACTAATGTCTTGGATACACAGGAATAACCATACTGGGACTTGGAAGACCTCCGGATTTCGCTTCTTTATCCTTACTTATGCCGATCTTTCCAGGCCTCGAAAACAATTTGACTTTGGACTTCTCCGTTTTGGCAGGTTTTTCGGCTTGAGCTTGAGCTTGAGCTTGAGCTTGTGATTGCGCTTGCGCTTGTGCCTGTAATAACTGGGCTTGGGCTTTTGCTTGAGCTTGAACATGAGCAAGATTTCGTTGTTCAAATTCTGTGGGTGTCAATGCTGGCGATGATCCGGGAGACTTTGGAAACACAACATTGGCAGCTGTTTGAGCGACACTCGATCCTGTCCCAAGTAATCCATTATGATATCCTTGCCCACCAAAATTAGTATCCCTGGGAGCTGAAGCTTCCGTCAAACTTAAGAGCGGTGGTGAAATGGGTCCCTTGGAAGGCCTTCTGCTTCCAGAGCTATTTGATGAAGTATCCAATTGAGGAGTTGGCACAGTCTGGGACCTTTGGCGCGCATGCTGCGCTTGGTGTTGCATAGCAGCCTGGGCAGCTATGTGACTCGCAGAGAGCCCCGTGTTTAGATTTGACATGCTTCCCAGATTGGATGATGCGGCAGTTGGTAAATACGCTTCGAAAGAACCTTGAGTTTGTGAATGCTTGCGGCCGTGAACTTTAAAATCACTGATGGATGATTTCGAAGCTATTGCAGTAAGAGGCGACGCATTCCTCAATGGCGTACCACCGATATCAGTTCGTACTTGCGCGAGTGTTGGCCGTGAGAAGTTCTGTAAGCTGGTGGTGCTTGAGTTGCTCTTGGTCGATTGGGCGTAAAAAGGGCGTGGAGGGGCAGGCGCATTCTGCGACTGTGGACGAACTCTGCTGCCAAGGGAGGGAGGTGGAGGTAAATCTTCAGATGATGAGGACTCAATTCTTCGCAGTGCGGGTCCTTGAGACGATGAGGACTGTTGCACAATTGGAGAGAAGCTCCCTGGTGCCCTTGGCAGAGAAGGGCCTGTTGACTGTGACATGGTTGTCTTGCTGGAAGTGGGACTTTTATATGTTTTGCGTTAGTCTTCCGTATCTTTCAGGGTACAACAGCGGGGCGTTGATTGTAGCGAACGAACGCTGTGTCTTGAACATTTCCGCAAGAAAGTCAAGAAAGAAGAACGAAAAACGAAGAAAGGAGAAAGAACGAAAGAGAGAAGTAGATTTGATGATAGAATACAAAAATGATGTTGTTGGTTGTGGAGGTTATGAATATCGAG